AAACTGCGGGGAACTCTGCAAAAAACGCATCTTCGCACGGGCAGCCCGTGCGTTGACCAATTTTTTGCAGTTGATGAACAGATGAAGCACTTGTCAGGGAAACCAAATCAGAACCTCGTTAAAAAAATTCGTAAAATTCTGGAAGTTTGAAAATCTTAAATGCATTTTGAATTTGAAGATTTCAGAAATAATTTTGTAGATTAACAAAAAACACATGGAATTCTCGAGTAATTTCAAGACATATACCAACGACATAGAGATTTTAAGAGCGGTAAGTACTTTGATTGTTGTTTTTTAGTATTTTTAAAAAAAGTAAAATGTATTTTAGGGAGGCAGCAGTGAGCAGCAGCAAAAGGCAAATGATGGTGGCGCAGCGACAACAGATATGCCTCCGCCACCTAAAAAAGCACCTGAGCCAGATCTTGATTGAGTCTTCTTCCTCTCGCACATAATACTTTTTTCACTTTAATGTTCAATATCGTTTGTTAGTTTTACGGTTAAATGCAGCGTGTTGTGCTCGTTCATTGCTGCTACTACTGCTTTTTATCACGCCTAATTTTTTTTTTCTTCTGTTGCCAATGAGAATTATGCCCAGCATCAGTTATTAAGATACCTCTCTGTTGCAGAGAGGACCTGGCTTTCATGGGCATTCATCCATTAATGAAGTGTTTTTTTTTTGATAAAACATTAAACCTTTGTTTTTTTTTTCTTTTGCGAATTCTCACAGAACAGACCAATGCTTTACAGAGACTTATATACACCCATACATACGTCTACACGTAGGTATATATACAAACACACTCGATATTTGAACTTTGAAAAACTGGCAAAAATAATACAAATTTTATTCACAAAAAAGCATTTCCCTGGCAAATTATAGCAAAGAAAAGCAACAACAGTGGTAGATGTGATGGCAAACAGCAAATGTGATCTGTCGCAAACAGCAAACGCTAACATTCATAGGGTTTGTACAATACGAAAAAAACAGAATCTTCTCATCGGAACAGTTGCAACATGTCATTCTCGAACTGGTGAGCCGATCAATGGATTTTCAAACTTTTTCTGGAGGACGATTTTCTCAAATTTTCGGCCCTGCGCTAAATTGGTGCCTGAAGCGATATTGCGGCAGATCCAGTCATGTCGTCCAGTTTCCTACTCCAAATAAGGCCTGCACCGCAAACATCGGCCTTGCACATGCTTTTTTTTTTCGATACTACAATTTTGGCCGATTTTATAAGTCGCACTTAATCTGACCTGACCGATGCGCTGGCGCAGAACCGACCTCGAATCGGCGTATGTAATCTTCCACAATTTCTACGATTTTTTTTAGTTTTTCGCCCCGGAAGCTGTTTGCAGATTTCTTAGTTTAGCTTTGTGACCAAATTCACAAAAATTCTAGCATACACATATTAAGGCTATGTTATCCGTATTCAAAGCCACATTTATGTGCAGTTATACGTACGGCATTTCTAAAAAATTATACGGGGTATCTCAAATTCGCTATGGGATATCTAACATTTTGTGTGTGATATCTAAAATATTGTGCTGTGCAAGACTGTAAAATCAGGGTGCCTGAAGTAAAACGGAATTTTCTTTCGCCGAACAATCACTACAAAAAGGCAGTACGGGCTTGAAGGGCCCTGTGAAGAAAAGGAAAGCGGGGCTGGAATACCAGCCCCGTAAGCACAGTGTTACCCAGATGTTCGTAAAATTTCGATTAAAGAAAGAATAAAAAATAAACTAAAAAAGGGGTCCAGATTGTTGTGATGAATGTTTTTTAAAAAAAGTCAAGGTCGGATTTAACAGAAGTCATGTGAAAGCTGTATGTATAAAAAGCCTGCTTGTGTTTCATCCCCAAGCTGTAAACACAGACAGTAACAGACGTGATTAGGGGCGGGGATCACCAGTACAGCCCCCTAATCACCATGTTTGTACGAGTATAGCGAGTCGCAAGATGAGATAAGAGAAAAAAAAGCACGCAAAGAGAAAAGAGTAAAGAAATTGGGCAATGTGGACTAACGTGAATGAGGTAATTGTCGGCCTTAGTACGCTTTGAAGGCGGTTCTCCTTGCGTAGTCATGCTAAAAAGCAAGCTTTGTTGACAAACAGCATAACGTTATGTGTAGGTAACGCCAGACAATATAGCCGCGCAAATCCTCCTTGTCCCACAATCATCACAATATATGTATTCAGCCAAGTTGGCAGTGTGCCTGTTAACAAACTTGCGAACGCACTGAGTCAGCTTGTGTTCGCCGCATCCCCTTTCCAAGTACCTAAACACTAGTCGTCTGGACCACCAAATGAATCGATCTGGAGAAGTGCAGATTCGCGAGTACCGCAGTATTTGGGAAATGAGAATTCCCTCAACCAAAGTTCGATCGACATCACTGTCAGGAGCATTATACAGGTTCACCGGAAAGGGATAGTCCAAAGCCTTGTTATACACGTCGAAAGTACAAACAGTATTCTGGCAGGAGATTTCTAAATC